CTCTTGACTGTCATGTGACTTTATTTCTACAGGCAGTCATAGAAGAAGCAGATGTTTGGTGGACTGATGTTAAGAAAGCCATCAGTGACTTTGAGAAAGACATCATCAACACCATCTCCAGCAAGAAAGGGAGTATCATAGCTTCTGAGAAGCTGCTGAGATACATGGAGGAGAAGAACCGCCAGAGGGTCAGTGCATCAAATTTGGAGGCTGGTCTGTCATCTGACAAGTATGTTGGTTAGGGAAAATCCTAGTTCCCATACTCCTGTGTGGCCTACATCATGTTTTCAGACTGCCTTACCAAGTCCCTTTGGACAGCCCTTGTCAAACTTGTCAGTCAGTGAGTAGCCCAGGTGCTCATCAGGCTGCTGAGCTGCAGCACAGCTGTAAGCACAGATGATGCAGGGCCCCTAGCGGAGCCTGGGAAATTGCATGGCCATGCCCCCACGTTTGGGGCAGGGTGATGCTGAGCAGCATTTCTTGCTGGGCACTTTTCTAAGCCAGCAGCGAAGGCTGCAGTGTGGATGAGATGAACAGGAACTGCACCATAAGGAGTGGGGTCTGGGTGCTCTTCAGGCTCTGCTGTTCCACTATAATCTCTTGTCTTTCTTTAGGATCTGCTGAGAGAGAAGTTGTGCTTAAAAAATTATTTGCTCAAGGGTTACAAGAAGAAGCTGCAGCAGCAGCTCAGGCAGGTGCGTGCAGCAGTTGAGGAGAAGCAGGGATTAGATGGCCCCTTGAAGAACAAAAGGAGTACAGCCCAGTGCAGATGCAGGGCCGGCTCTGCGTAGAGATGTGTGGCCCTCCTCCTCCTCCCCTTTCCTCCTTTGCTCCTGGCCTTGCTGCCTTTCTCAAAGGGCATTGTCATCTGCCCAGGTTCAGACCTGGCACATGTCTGTGTGCATGGAATGAGACCAGAAGTCTCACTGAGTGGAAGCTGGCAGATCTCTTCATGCCCTTTGTGCCCTGGAAAAGATGTATGGTGGATCAGAGCAACTCCCTGGGGACTGGCTGCTGCTGGCATGGCAGGAGCCTCACCAGAGGGGACCTGTCTGCACTGCTTAGACCCTCTAAGCTAGGACACAGAGCACAGGCTCACTGGCATGCTGTGTCTCATATTTCTCTCCAAGCCCCAGGTTTGCAGCCAGACCCTGTTCTTTAGGTCTGCTTTCCCCACAGAGCAAAACTCTCTTACTTGGGATGCAGCTTTGGTCAGCAACCTACAGCTCTGCTTCCTTGGGGTTTGCAGAAGGAGCAGATGGGAGAGACACTCTGTGAGGTCCGTTTGCAGCAGCTGCAGGTTAGAAATGCCCAGTACCAGGAGAAGATTGATGAGAAGAACCAGGAGCTGCTGCAGCTAAAACTGACTTCAGGGAAGACTGTCCAAGTCCTCAACTTCTACAGAGTGAGTGAACCTCCCAGCACCTTCGTTTTGCCTTTCTTCTGTTTCTGAGGGTCACACATGAGCTCTTGCATCCTTCCCTTTCTCAGTCAGAGGATGCCGAACACCTCTCTGCCTTCCCGCTGACTTAGCAGTTCGGTTGGGAGGTTTGCCCGGCACACCAATAGCAGCAATGCCCTCATTCATGTTTGGCTGCAACCTGACAATGGGGTTCATGCTTTGCAGCACAGTTATTTTACACCCCAGGAGAAAATTCCAGGAGGAAAGGACTTTGGTGCTGACTTGCACAGGAAAATAAATTTTTTACATAAACTGTGACATTTGAAAAGATGTCATGAGCTGCAGCCATCACTCTGAGTCTCTGCTCTTATCAGTGAAAAGTGCTTCTCAGCCGGGCGTATTTGCTTCTCTCTGATCAGCCATTCTGACTGGGTCAGTCCTAAACCCCGGCTGCTGTGCTGTGGGCTGTGCTACATTGTGACACAGAGGACATAATGAAGCAGTAGCTGCATGACCAGGGCATGATGCTGCCTTCTGCAGGGGACGAGCGGTGCCACAGAGCTCCTGCACCGCCAGCTGAGACCAAGCTGGAGGAGTAGAGGGGTGGTCTTGCAGGTGGCTGGGAGCTGCCACTGCACCGCCTGATGCTGTCCTACTCTCATGTTTCAGAGGAAGCTGCAGGATGCCATGGAAACATCCACATCTCTGATGAAAGACACCTCCCAGAGGAAGGAGCTGCTGGAGAAAATGGAAAGAGAAGCTGCTCTGGTGGAGGAGGTAAGAGAGCAATTTGGGAGGCCTTGAGACTTCACTTGGGAGGACTCTTTTGAGGTACTTTTTGTGGTATGTTGGATGCTGATGCCCATTCAAGACCCAGCAATGAGCTGGATACCTGTGTGCCTTTCTGGGTATGGGCAAGACCCAGGGCTCCTGCTGGTGCCAGTGAGCATTGGCAGGTTTGCAGAACAGGCCATGTTGTGGATTTTGGCCCTGGCTCCACAGGGACCTGCCACTGGCTTCTTGAAATTCTGTTTCCTTGAACTTTTCATCAGCAGTGTACACCCCAGGGAGAAGTGGCACTGGCATATACCAGTGCCATATGGCCCCTGGGGGACATCACAGCTTTGGGAAGAGGATTCAAGGGGCTCCCTAGCAGTGCTGCCTGGCAGGGATGGAGGCACCAGTGGATGCATCCCACTGCTCCCCTGCAGTGCCGGGGGTTTAATTTATCCTGCCTGCCTGCTTCCCTGGAGGACTAACCACAGCTGGCAGAGGGACATTTCCCTGGGATTTCCTTGCCCTCTGTCCCTATTCCTCCGGCAGCAACGAGCTGAAGCTGAGAGTGTGAATCAGAAGCTGCGGAAGCAACTCTCAGACTACAGCATCCCCCCTGTACTGAGTTACGTGCAGAAGAAGATGGCTGTTACTGACCTCGAAAACAGCCTCAAGGCTTGGGAGAGGAAGGTGGCAGTTGCCGAGGTGAGTGAGACCAGGCTGAGTGTGCAGGAGCCTAGACATGTGCCAGTCATGTGCTCGGCGCTGGTGGAGCCACATCTGTGCCTGTCCACCTGCAGCCACTGTGGGGACCAGATTGCTTGCTCCTGACCTGCTGGGAAGCCATGTGAGAGCTCTTGCGCGGGTGTTTCACTGGTGCCTGGCAGAGCCAAAGGCTCTTCCTGTTTACAGAGCAGCAATCACTCCCTACCCCGAGGACAGAGGCTGGATTTTAATGACTGAGCTCAGAAGGGAAGCCAAGGCAAGGACACAGCTTGTAATTTGACAGGCAGCACCATCTGGCTGTTGCTATACTGAAACCTGTTGTCTATGTAGGAAGAAGGGGATGTATGGCAGCTTGATATGTTTCCGTCTCTTTATATGTAACCTGCACCAGCTTTTTCCAGTGCCCTTGATGGATTCCCAGTGTTTGTAGTCCTCTTTGATGATCTTAAATTTATTTCTTACTCATTTGTATCTTGACTATTCCCTTATAAGGAAAGGCTACCCATGATCCAAACATGAGTTCATAGCGAAGTTGCAAGAATATCTTTGACTCTCCTCCTGCTCCAACTCCTGCAGCCTCGGAGGAGATGGAGAGATAACACAGAGGAGCATAGTCAAAGCCTGGAGGTAGCAGGACATGTCCATATCCCTGCCCCGTGCAGGATGGCTGTGTGCACAGCAGTGTGGGGAGAGAAGTAGCTGGGTTCAATGGGACAGATAGTGTGGTCCTGTACCTTGACACCCTGCTCTCGTCCTTGAGGAGAGATGGGCTTATCTGTGGCTGGGATGGGGAAGGCTCTGGGCTTGCGCCTGTCCAGCACTTAGCTCCCCAGTACCCCAGTCTGCAATGGACAGGGCTTATGTGGTCCAGCCTTTCTCTGAGGTTAGAACTGTGTGGATTTGGCCTTGACCCATCAGCGCCAGTGCAGTGAGTTCAGAAATAGGGGTCCAGCTGTGGCTATCTCAGAGCTGGTGGGCAGCCTGCCTGCAGGCCTGTCTTTGCGCCAACAGATCCCTTCTCACCCAGCTGCTCCCCCTGACTGGGAGACCCAGGCTCTGGCTTGCATGCTGTCTGTGCAGCAGTGCCCAGAGTCCTGCCAGCCTCTGGGAGATGGAGAGCAGGAAGGGCTCAAGGGGCTAAAGAAGGAACCTGTAGTTGTCCCTGGGATAAGAGTGAGGCTATAAAACTGTTTTCTTTGCCAGACCCTCTCTGGCAGGGCATGTCCAACTGCTGCCATGCAAGGTGCTGTAGGTTTCTATACAGTGCTGTTGTGTTGTGGGGTCTCTAGGCTTCCTGTGGCATTCAGGGGAGAAACCAAAGCTGGTGTAGACCTGCAGGAGCTCTCCTCAGCATGCCACAGCAAGCACCAATCTCAGGTGGGAGCAGTGGGGGATGAAGGGTCAAGCAATACAGCAGTTCAGGCCAGGCTAGATTCCAGCCTTGCAGCTTTCTCCACAACATATCACTGCTGTCTGAACATATTAAGGCCTTCTCCTTACTCCTCTTGCAGATGTCCTTGCAAAGCTACTGCAGAGCATGGAACCAGGTCAAGATGTCTGGTAACCAGCACTAGGCTTGTCTTATGCTGCAAGATGGGCAGTGGAAGCTGCAGAAGGAGCCAACCATGTGGGGAAGTTTGCTGTCCAGTGGGTAAATGTAGCACCATGCAAGCTGCAGTGAGGTGAAACCACTTCTGCATGAAATAATAAAGAAATCCATGGCTGTGTTGTGAGGCCATCTCTTTGGTCTGTCCCAGCATGTGCTGGCTTCCACCAGGCTCTGCTGCCTAGCCCCTCCGCAGGCCCTGCTAGGTCAGCCAGCTCTGCTCTGGGTGCTCCCTCCTCCCTCCATCATCATAAGCAGTTATTCTCTGGTCATCAAATCTGACATGTTCACAGGAACTGTTGTTTCTCTCTGGGCAAGCCCTGGTGATCACTTAGCGCAGGAGGAACTAGATGGGATTCCCTGGGAGACGTGGGAGTTCAACATCTCCAAGCGTGCACTGACAATAGAAGATTGCACTGTGAGCATATAGGGCAAATCATTTCAATACGGCATGCATGAACCAAGCAGACTTTCTGATCGCAAAAGGATACTTCATTTACCTAAAGAAACAAAATAGCAAGAAGGGAGCAGTTATCCCTTTCCCAAGCACCTGGGGCAAGTGTAAGTGTCCCTTGGAGATGGGAAATGCTTTTCCACTGCAGGAGTTATAAATCAGCTCAGATGGCCCAGCCTCAGATGAGTTCAGGTTTGTCTTTCTGTTCTTGGGGTTCAAACCAACTTCCTGAAATATCCTCACTGCTGGCCTGGAAGCCTCTTCCCAGTCTTTGGGTGGAGCCTGCAGATCAGCTTGCACCCTGACTAGCATGGGGAATGCGGGAGGTCTTGTCCTCTCAGTGGTGGCCAAGATCCAGTCACTGTAGTAGGACACTGGGGTGTACAGGAACAGTCTGTAGCATCTTATGCCACCCTCACTGAGAATGTCTTTCAGGACCCATTTCTCAGTCCCTCTAATCTGGCACATGATGGGGTTGCCAGCATCACCCTTTTCAGAGACAAAAAAGGCAGGGTGTGTCTCAGCAGTATCCCTCCTGCCATCGCTCTTGGTGGCTGTGGACTTCATCAGGGTGAGAGGGGGGTTGATCACAGCAGTTCGGTCCTTTATCATCACTGGCAGGAAAGCACCACTGATTCAGGGGGCTGGCTGCCTTTGGGCTGATGATGTCCCTGTGTGCCCCAGATGAAGTGACTGGTGTCACTCCCTGTGGCTGCCCATGCCCCCATCAGCCCAGCCCCATGCTTGATCCTTTGGTATACACCACAAGGAACCTCTTGTGGTTTTGCCTCCTGAGCATCTTTGACCCTGGCCACATCAAAGGCCCTCGGAGGCCCTGGCAGCAGGAGAGGTCCAGGGTCCAGGAGCAGCACCTGCAGGCCTGCAGGGAGATGGTCACCCTGCATTTCATGCAGAGACAGGTGTCACATGTTCAGACAGTCTCCCATGCCTGCTATTTGCAAGCTCTGTGAAAGGGATCTTTTCCTGTAAGGACTAAGCAGGAGAAGCCCAACAAGTGTTTTGGCTGCTCTCCCAGCCTGTAGTCAGAGACGAGAAGAACAGAACAGGGAGGAGGCGGTTTGGCTACATGTCTGTCCGGTCTGGGTTGGTGCTCTGTCCCTTACCAAACAGCCTGCCACTTGTTGGTGTCCCTGTGGCTGCAGCATGTGGTTGCAGCTATCCTTTTCAGCGGGCAGGGAGCCACATCCACCACAGAGAGCATCATCAGGAAGTTGCTTCAGCACTTTCCCCTGCCTAGCTGAGGGACCACTGTGAGCCTGTGGCTCCGGGCAGCCCGTGGCCTCCTGAAAACGGATGGGTGACCAGTGGGTGCTTCTTCCTCCCAGGACAAGTGCTGTTCCCCTTCCTCCCACTGGGGCTGTTGGCAGGAGGGAGCGGGAAGCCGGCTCTCCACTCTGCCAGAGGGAGCTCTTCCCTGCAGGAGCTGCAGGTAACTGCAGTGGGATGGATCCAGCCTTAGACCCAGCAGTTTACGAGGTCCGAGGCAGAGAGGCTCCCGTGGGGGAAGCAGAAGGGCTGAACAATACTGCTGGACTCCAGAGGGACGGCTGTCCTGAGCAGAGTGACGTTGTTGTAGAGCGTCACCTTGTCAAAGTCCTCATGGGGGATGAGCTAGCTGATCAAATACTGGGGCTGGTCCTCCCATCACCTCTTTATGGCACTCAGTCCGAGCAAGGCTAGCACCTGCTGCCTGTGGCAGGAGGATGGAGGGGACTGGGTGCAAGGAAAAGCCTGGGGCAAACTCTGCCTGCCCCCACTCTCACTGAAGGATGCTCACCCAGCTGCTGGGCAGTGACAAGACCCTCCTGAGCACTGGGAGGTGGTATTATTCCCTGCTGATTTCCAAGCCTTGCCCGGGGTGAGGCAGGGCCCCTTGCAGGGCACAGCCCTGCTCTGCAGGCTGGATGCAGTGTTGAGGGTCCAGTGCTCACTCAGGATGGAGCCGAAGGCCAGGACATTGCGCTGCATGTCCTGCAGTGCCACCACCCACAGAAACTGGTCTGTGGCCGCAGACTCCTGCACTGATCTCCAGGGAGATGGGCTGGCCTGGATCCCACAGGCTACAGGGTGACAGGGGGCCTGTTGCTGGGTGCGCCTGGCCCTATGCTCTCCCACTGTCCTCCTCTTCCCTCTGATACCCCCTTGTCCCTTGCTGCAGCTGTCCCGAGTTTTGACCTCACCTGGGACTAATGCCAGCATCACTCAGGCTTGCTCACTCATTGGGCCGAGCTGGTGGCATGGCGTGCAGTGCCTTAGGGTCAGATCATGCCACCTCTCTCACCTGACGCTGGGGTGGCACAGACACACAGCAGCATGAGGCTTTGCACTGCCCAGCCAGGCAAAGAGCTGGGGCTGGGGAGCCAGGGACCCCTGCTCTGCCCACCTGCAGGGAGAGGGGGAGACGGCATGCTGGATGTGAGCTGGCAGCCAGCCCAGAGGGACTTGGTGTGCCCGTGCTGAGCACTCCGGGCCGATTCCTCACCCTGGTATGTGGGCACTGCATGTCCCAAGCACCCTGGCAGCAGGCAGGGACACAGGGAGACCCAATGGGCCCATTCCCAGCTCCCTGGCTCCCACCCCCCTGCCACAGGCCTCATCCTGCTGCACTCTGCCTGCTCCATCATGCCCCTGCCAATACCCTGCTAGCCCCATGCTGCACCCCGCTGCTCGGCACCCTGATGCTGCTGCAGTGCCCAGGCAGCAGGATGTGGGCACAAGCTGCTTTGTGAGCTCACCATCACTGCTGCGGCTTGCAGGACCCTAAGGTGGAGGGGTGGTTGTCGGAGGCTCTTGCAGCACATCTGCCTGCACAGAAAGGATCTCTGAGGAACAGCTCCTTCTGCCCTGGATGCTGCTGGATGGTTTTTCTCTGGGACAGCCTGTTTTGCCCAGGAGCTTCCTTTCTGTGTGCCTGCTGGGGTCTCTGCCCACCCTGGTCCCACTTGCAGGCAGAAGCAAGGGCAGCAGGAGGGGCTCTGGTGCTGCTTAAGGGGATTTATAAAAAACTGAAGGACCTCAAGGTGCATGGGAGTGGTGGTTAGGGAACCTGGAGAGTAGCAGGAACTGTCACAGGGGCACCACGAGGCTACAGCTGCCTGTGGCTGGGCTTTCCCATGGGGAGGGCCTGGTGGGGATAGGAAGTCCCTTCCCAGCTCATGAAAGGCCAAGTGTGCCTTTGGAGAGCAGGACAGAGAAGGTGGGATGGTATGAGGGATGTGAAAACTCCTTCTTTGAATCAAGGATGAGAAAATTGTTGAGAAAGAGAAATTACAGTACCCCTTGTATGCACTAATTAATAGCCACAGGTGAAAGGAGCTGGCAAGAGGCAAAAAGCAAAGGCACTGGGGCTCTGGGAGGGCTGACACACTCCCAGCAGGTTATCCAGGGATCACTCTTCTCCCTGGCAAGGCGTGCAGTTGCTGCGGATGCACATGCCCAGACCAACCCTTTGGGTGCCCTCTGCAGTACTGGGGATGAGGACAGCTGAGGGGAAGGGAAACAGGGCTGGGAGAAGGCTGGAGGGAAGTCCAGGTTTGAGTGCTTGTTAAACCTGCATACATACTAGGGCAGCATTAGCTGAACTGATTTCTTCCCAGCATCTGAATACATGTTTATTATATGCAGAACTGGCAAGGGCAGGGTCCATGCCATGGCATGGTTAGGACAGGGGCATCCCAGAGAAACCTTAATGCTTTTTTCATGGTTGTCTTGTGCTCCCTAGATATAGCCAATCCTGCACGTAGAAAATTCAGTACTCTCTCTGTGTACCTGCAATAATAAAATAAAATAAATATTTTTTTATTTATTTAAAAATAAAACTCTATTAGTGCTTATCTGTCCCACTGAGAAGGGTCTTTCATGTGTATTATCTCTGGCTCTTGTGATGTTGTGTTTGAAATGCTGTGGAAATCAGCTGGAAGGCAGCTGATGATCCCAAGGCCCATTTTAGTTGATTTGTGGCAAAAGGGGCAATTTAACCCTGCAAGAGCCAGGAAAAAGTCTCTGAGAGATGGGTTTCACCCTGCCCTCCACATGGGGATGCCACTCCGAGGCTGGTCCCCAATCACTTGCTGTTCCAATGTGATGCTGGTGTCACCGCAAACAGAGTGTTTCCAACAGTGACACTGGCAGCTAACAGCGACACTGCCTGAGCCGGAGGTGCCTGGCACCTGACTCACTGTGAGCATGACTTGACTTATTTCTTGTTATCTGGATCCACAGGGGTCAAAGCCAAACAGCATCAGACCAGGTGCTGGTGGAACCATGACCAGCCCATGTCCTTGACCCATGGGCTGTGGGCCGGCCAGCTTGGTGACACCAGTCCCTTCCCACTTTGCAGGTCTCACAGGAGGTCAGCACTGTCAAAGAAGCACGACCCCCATGGCAGCTCTCATGGGCAGCATGGGACTCTCCCCGAGGTGAGCCCAAGCCTCTTCCTTTGCCCAAAGGACCAGCTGCCTCCTTGCCACTGCTGCTGGGACATGGGCACCTCTTGCGAGGAACCGCAGCCTCCCAGCAGCCTGGCCGCAACCTCAGAACGAATGAGTTTTAAGCCCCGTGGTTAACAAAGCTAGCCTAAATCTGCATGGAGACAAAGCCCAAAGCCTGCCTCCAGCTCTCCCCACAGCAAGCTGAACACAGCGCCTTCTGTGAGCTTGCACAAAGCCTCCCTTGTGCAGGAGGGGATCCAGCCAAACAAGCAATCTCCTTGGCTGCGTGTCTCCTAGTGCTCCACCATTTATATTATTTGCTGGATTGTTCCCACTACCAAAGAAAATTTAACAAGTAAAAGCATCTGATAAAAAACTATTGACTGCAGTAAAATACCAACCCAGCCAAACCAGTCTGTACAGCATGACCTTCACAGCCTTTGAGTCACGTTCATTCAGTTTACGACCTAGAAAAACAAATTCTGTGTGGTACTTGTGACACTGCCAGTACAAAGACTTTGATTAAAGCTTGTGTTACCAAAGCACAGTGAGATGTTTGAGGTCAGAGTGGCACTTCCTTCCCCAAGCCTGGTTCCTTGTTGTGCAATGACATGTCTCTTAAGTCATCTCCTTGGCACTTTGTGTTTCTCCTTTTGTGTTTCCAGATCACACTGCTCCCCTTGCTTCTGGCCTTAGCACTAAGGTTCTGACTCCTGGCTTCTGCTGACAGCCCTTCTGGCTGGGTACCCAGCAGGAACAATGCACCTTGTCTTTGCTGACGAACTCCACAAGAAAACAACTTTTGGCTGCTAGTGCCTTCAAGTCTTAGAGGATTACCCACAGGTGGTTCAAATCTTGCCTTGGAAACAAATCTTCAAGGTAATATTTGTTTCCAAGGCAAGATTTTAACCACCTGTGAGTAATCCTCTAAGACTTCCAATGCTGTGATGGATGGTTTTGGTTCTGTGCTTGAGGCAGCAACTGCAATGGAGGGTCCCATAGCAAAGGCATGTGCGGCATGGATGAGTCAGGTACCAGCATGCATGGCAGAATGAGGCCACCAGCATGTTCCTCTTGGTTGAATTCATTTCAGTAGATAGTGAGCACACGTGAGCAAACCTCTCTAACACCCAGAGATGATGGTGTTTGCCATCCTCAGAGAAGGTGGACTGGGACTGTGTGGCCAGTGGTGAATGACTCCAGGCAAGTAGAGCTATTGCACAGGAGATCTGCTGCACAGCTTGCTTAGCCAGCTCCATGGCTTGAATACATCTCTGGATGGGAACCTTGCTTTTTCATCAAAGCACACATGGAGACAATTGAGGGTGTTGCCTGCAGCAGCTGTGGCAGAGCACTGTTCCCTGTCATGACCCATGGTGCCCTGGTGCACGGGCTGTAGCAGCTCAGTGGAGCTATTTGGCTGGGAGTTTGCTGGGAGCAGCCTGGTGATGGAGAGGGCACTAAGTGACCCAACAGGCATTTTGTGAATTGGATCAATACCTTTTGAAGGACACTGGAATCAGTGGGCCCTTAAAATCTCTTCTAGTCCTGTCCCACATGAAATCCCTCCCTCCCAATAAGAACAGAGGGCAGCAAATAAAGAGGGAAGGTATTAAGAAAGCCCAGGCAGAAGAGGAAGTGTCTGAGGAGGCCTTTGTTCAATGTTATAACAATGGTGCAAAGAGCTGATCCAGGATACACTCACCTTGCTGGCTCAGATTTGCTTACACATGTCAATGAGCTAATGTTTCACTGGGAGGCTTTACACCAGCTCAGGTATCAGGCACCCTTCAGGCACTTACACATGAAAAGTGACCATTAGAGAGATCCTTGCAGCTCTCATAACTCTGCTTGATTCCCTCACATTCACTATGGGCAGACACCAACCTGTAATTCTTTATTTTTCTCTCTGTAGCCAGATGGGAGTTTTACAGCCTCAGTACATTCTTCCATACTAAGGATAAGGGTACTTCAAACCTGGGGTTGTATTGCCAGCTGTGTTTTGTGTAGAAAGGAAGGCAGAAAGTGGAGGGCAACTATGGTCTGGGCAGGTCAGAGGACAAACAGTCTCCAAGCTGAGTCCTTCTAGCAGTGGATGATGTAGCAGTCCTGGAAGAACAGCAGCACTGTTAGAGGAGGGCCCAGGACCAGGCTGATGCCACACGAGCATGTTATGGTAGCAGCCATCAAAAAGCCATTTCCACAGGCAGGACAGTGGGATCTGTCAGGAAAAGCAAATAGCAGTTACTAGCAGAAGTCTGGTCAGTTGGTAATACTATTCTCTCAGGGATGTGCATGCCCTTAACTGGAGGACAGATCCATACTGAATTAGCTTTTCTATTATAAGGATGATGACTCAATTTATTACTAAAAGGTGCCCTTGCCAAAGGGCTCTGTGTCTGTGTGCTTCATAATAAAACAATTAAAACCCCCATTAATGCTGAAATCTTACCAGGCTAGCACAGAAAGGAGAAAGAAAGGGTCTTTCCCTTCCCACAGACCCAAGAGCTGCCAAATTTACAAGCATCGTGGGAATAGAAAGAGTTTGAAATTATTTTAAAGGCTGGAAGAGATTAGATGGGAAGGATTACAGATGGCCACAGGTTTTGCACTCAGAAATCATCGCTGTTTGACATGAAACTGAGGAAATCTGCCCCCAGACAATGCTCAGAAGCTTTCAAATTAGTGGCAGGCTCAATGTGGATCGGGTGACCTAGTCCACCCTGATTGGACTGGTTAGAAAACCCTTCCAGCTCTGATCTCACTCACTGAGACTGGAAGTTCAGGTATAAATGGCTGAAAGATCTGATTTATGTTTTCTCACATCTCTGGTGTCTCTAGATGTTAGGAAAAGCCTCCAGAGAATGAGGAGGTGCCTTTCTGATGGACTTACAAACAAGGGATGCTAGATGCTTGGCTGGTTTTTGTGACAGAAATGAAGTATGCTCTTTGCAACACAGCA